TGGAGCTGCTGAACCAGCTGGGGAGGGGAGGGCAGGGGAGGAGAGATAGCTCATCTCTGGGGGCTTCTGAGAGTTTAGGCCTGAAATCTGAGCCAAGTGTGTGGGGATCTGAGCTCTGGGTTTGACACTTAGGAATGCTGCCCCACTGCCCTTCTTCCTCTCCTACCCTCCTCCCTAGGGTACGGTGAGCCAGGGTTCACTCAGCTCCTAAGTGCTGGTCTCTTCACCACCAGCAGAGGGCAGTGGTTGCTGTCAGGCTGTCAGGCAGGCTAGCAGGGCAGGAGCTGACCTTTTTCTGACAGAATACAGCCTGGGCAGTCAGCTCCAGAAGGGAAGGGAAAGGTTGGGTCACTTCCTTCACCCTCTCTAATCCTCAGCTGCCCCCAAACAGATCTTGGAGACCTGGCCTCTCCTAGGGGGAAGAGGGCTGGTGGGGCTGGGCAGATTGTGTGGACACTTTACTAACCATTCCTGGTTAGGCCACCTGGACCAGGCCGATGCCAACTATCTCAGGACAAGGGGGCAGGTTTTCAAAAGTTAATGTGTTTGCTGTTGTGGTTATTATTAAGCGCTTACTATGTGCCAGGCACTGTGCTAAATTCTTTCATCATGCATAAGCTCTATAAAACTTCAGGTTTCCCTCCTGGAGTTTGCCCAAGACCACACAGCTAGAACCAGACTTTGCCCTGCAAACCAGAGTCTCTTATTATTGTTACTGCTACCTCATCGGGGAGGGATGAATAGGGTTTGATGGTGCTGACATAGAAGGGATCAAGGGATCAGGGGACTAACAGGGGATCAAGGGATCAGGGGCCTTTATTTTGCAGATGAAGAAAACTCCAGAGAGGGATATGACACTCTCCCACAGAGAGTGCAGGGCTGACCATAAAACAGGGAACTTGGGCACAGCTGGGGGCTGTGAGCCAGATCTTGGCTGCCCTGTACCAGACTAGCATCCCTTGAGGCTAAGGACCCCATTTTACCCTTTATTCCCTGCTTCTACCCCACTGTGCCTACTACAGGGTACAGTGTTAATCGGGGCTCAAAATGTCCTCGATGCCAGGTTCATTGTCACCCCTCAGTAGCTGCTGTCCTGCCTGCTAGGCCAGTGTTCAGTAAGTGCTGACTGTGTGCCTGGAACCCTGCTGGACATGGGATGCACAGCTGTGTAAGACACAGTCTTTGTACCTGTTAGCTTATACCAGGAATCCTCAAACTTTTTAAATAGGGGGCCAGTTCACTGTCCCTCAGACCATTGGAGGGCTGGACTGCAGGCCCTGGGATGAGCCGGCTGCTAAGCAGGATAGGCAGCAGTGGCAAAAAACCCAGCAGGCCGGATAAATGTCCTAGGCGGGCTGCATGTGGCCTGCAGGCCGTAGTTTGAGGATGCCTGGCTTCCATCCTGGTGGGGAGGGGTCACCCCACATGTGTTCCCATAGTTTTCCTCATTCTCAACTCCCCTGCTCCTGTCTGGTAACCCTCAGCCCCAGGCTGGATTTTATTTTAGAAAATATTTGCAAAACATTCTCTATGTGTTTGCCACCTCTTTATAAAATTTTACAAAATATTTACAAAATGTTTTCTTTTTCTTTCTTTCTTTTTTTTTTTTTGAGACAGGACCCTCAAGCTGTCCTCTTGGGTAGAGTGCTGTGGCATCACAGCTCACAGCAACCTCCAACTCTTGGGCTCAAGTAAGTCTCCTGCCTCAGTCTCCCAAGTAGCTGGGACCACAGGTGCCCGCCACAATGCCCGGCTATATTTTTTGGTTGTAACCATCATTGTTGTTTGGCCGGCCCGGGCTGGATTCGAACCCGCCACCTTGGGTGTACATGGCTGGCGCCTTAGCCACTTGAACCACAGGCGCTGAGCCTACAAAATGTTTTCTATGTGTTGGCCACCTCTTTGTAAAATTTCATAATGAATATTTTGTAAATAAAGGTACAGTTAGCTACAATTTCCCATTTTCCCTATGTGTGGTGACTTTAGGGGCAACTTTTGGGACACCCTGCAATAAACTCAAAGAAAATTGAAGGAAATATCAAATGTCATCTAATTCTTGACCATGAAATTTATATTCAGATTCAGAATTTCAAATTCCTATCCAGAAATTAATAAACTAAAACACAAAGATACAAAGAGAAAGCTGGCTTCAGCTCTGGGCTTCTCTTGGGTGGCATGGGGTCTGCTTGCCAGTCTTTTCTGCATTTTGAGAGCAGAGCCCATTTCTCAGGTCTTCAGAAATGAATAAACCCAAGTCTTGGAACTTTAGCCAAGGGACCTGGCTGTGCAGTGCCGGAGTGAGCCAGCATGAGGTCTCCTTTCTTGTATTTGAGTCTTTCTACTATTTGGTTGTCTTTAATCCTTAACATACATAACAATAATAACAACACTATTACTAACAATCTTACATTTGTTGATCTATTGTAGTTCAAAGTGCTAGAAGCAAGAGATGGGAATGAACGTAATTGTCTCATCAGATCCCAAACACTGTGAGGGAGGTAGGAAGAGGGTACGCTTTATTTTAAATATGAGGAAATTGAGGCTCCATGTACCTGAGGTCTCATTGCTGGTGAATGGGTGGGCCAGGACACGAATGCTTCAAAGGCTTCAAAGTCCCTTCTCCCCTTGCCCAATTCCTTTCCTTGAAACACCTGTTCTTCTTCAGTTGTCTCCTAAGTGAGCTCCCTCATGTACACTTAAAGCTCTTCTCCCTCCAAGCAGCCCCTTCTCATTCTGATTCCCTCTGCAAGCCCTTCTCTTCTCCCATCTTCAGTAGAAATCCAGGATGGTTATCTTAAGTGACTATCTTATCTTGCAACCCGACTGGGGCCTTCTTGTGGGTGTGTGTGGGGCAGATAGCAATCTTGGTGTTTTAGCACAGGCCTGGGGTTGGAAAAGATCCTCAACCCTTATTTGTCAATCTGGAGTTTGATTTGGCAGCATTAGGCCTGTACCCATCAGAGTACATTCTGGGTTGTGCCAGCTCCAACTAGGGCAGAAGTGCTTGAGAAGAAACCCTGCTACCACGTGGGGAATCTCCTGTGTGCGTGGTGGCTAAGGTGGCCTTTGTGGTGCCTGGTCATGTCAGGTGGTGCTGGGAATATAGGTCGATGTTGGTACAGTCTCCTTATGGGATGGTGGGGCAGGAGACCTTCTCATGACCAAGCTGCATTGGCTGAAGGTATAACTAGGTTCCTGGACCCCTTTCCCTGTAACTGGAGAATTCCTAACGCCCCATGGTCGACCTGATTGCCCAGTGACTGACCAATCCTGAGAGGGAACTAGAAACAGACACACACTTTTGTCCATGGACAAATCTCAACACTTTATTCATCCCTTGACAGGGAGGAGAGGGCACTGCCCTAAGATAGCCAGCCAGTCAGGTGCTGTGGCTGGAATATGTGTCACCTACCCAGATAGTACATACAGCGCTGATGATGCAGAAACAGGAAGGGAAGCAATAAGTTAAAAGCCACATAAGTTATGAAAAAATAATATATACTTTATAATGTGGTATTTCCATTGAGGATTTGCTTCCTTGGAAACCAATAAAGAGCCTGAGAAAAAGCAGCAGTTAGCACCATCTTTGGAGAGCTCAGGGATAAGTGCATGAGTTCCCTCTGGCCTGCTGGCGCCCCTTCAGGCCTGGAGGTGAATTAGCCAGGAGAGGCTAAGGCGGTGAACCCAGTCCTGGAGATGACTTAGTCAAAGGCAGGCTAAGAGAGATGAGGCCAGGCTGTGAGGGGATGGGGGTGGGGAGGGCAGAGGGGAAGGTAGCTTATGGGGTGGAAGGCTGGAGCTGCTAAAGGGGAAATCCAGGAGGAGGAAAGAGCACTCCCATCAACCCCAGATCTTCCTGTGGGGTACAGATTTTTTCTTTTTGGTTAAGCCCTTTTAAGGCTGTCATGGGGGCCTGACCTCAAAAGCTCAGAAGCTCCCAGACCTGCCTGGTCTGTGCCTTCTTCATGGCCTGTGGGAGGCAGGGAGAGTGGGCTTAGAGGGAGGAGCGGGCGGGAGCGGAGAAGAGAAGAGCTATGACTTCTCAGGTGGGGGGAGCTTCTGGGCTTCTCAGGGAATGCAGAGGCAGAGAGGGTCATGCTGTCCGGCCCTGAGAAGTGGGATTTGTGGGCAGAGGTCTCCAGGGCTGGGTGTACCAAAGCCAGGTGTTCAGGCTAGGAGGACCTGGGCTGGGGACAGAGAGGTCAGATTCCCAGCTGGGGGCTTATCCCAGAATGGCAGAGAGGTGAAAGGATTATCTAATTCTCCTGCCTGGTCTCAGGCTGCATCTGGCTTCCACTCCCAGAGGGTGATTGTGGCAAGAAGAGCTTCAGGAGAGGGGCTGGGGGCTGGCTTGGATAGCACTAGGAGGGACCCAAAAGGGGTGAGGAGAGGAAGGTGTTTGGCTGACCTTAGAGGTCCAGGCTCAGGTCCCAAACATGGGGCCTTCCTTTCCTCACTCCTCACACTCCATAACACTGTGAGGTCTCTGTGGAGCCTAAGGGGTGCAGGAAAGCTGGGGCTGGATCTTCAGCACCCACCTTTCCCAGGAACTCCAGATATGGGATCAGGCGCCCCCTGGGCTGGGTGAGCGAGGGCACCACCCTCAGTTCCAAGGCAGAGGCAAGGCAAGGCTTGAGATCGGAGAGTAGGGCAAGTGTAGGGCAAAAACTCAAAGGGGCCTTAGTCAGAGCCCCTGCTGGAGGAAGCGTCTCAGAGGAACAAGGAGTTGGAGACAAAACCCACCCCCAGTTCCAGTTTACCCAGTCAGGAACGCTTTGGGCCCGAAGGTGGGGAGGATAAGGCTGGGAGATGCTGAGGCAGAGTGGAGGGGCTCATGGCTAGCAGCGCTCCACAGCGGTCAAGGTTTCGACTCCTTCTTTCAGTCCAGGATCAGGTTTGCCTCCCCTTCCAACCTAGAGGCTCCAAGCTGCTTTTTTCAGTCTAGCTTAAGTCCTCCTGCTGCAGCAGGAGTGCCCTGGGGTTTCTGGCATCCAGCTGCTTTACTCTGAGACCTCTGACTCCTGTGAGAAGTACTTCTCTGACATTTCGGTGATTTTGATCACGGGACCTTTACACTTCTTCTTCCGGGAGGAGGTCTCGGAGAGGCCTGACCTGGAGGCAGCTACAGGGGACATGAGGGATGGGGGAAGGGAGGGGCTGGAGGTTTGGGAACCACTTAAAATGTTGCCTTTAAGATCACGATCCCTCTATACCTCACTGCCCTCCCAACAAGGGAGGGTTCTCAGGTCAAGAAGACTTACCGGTTCTGCATCTGGACTGCACGGCACTGACCACGGTGGCTGAGGGCAGGTCCATCCTGGGGGTGTGAGGGAGGGGCAGAATATGTGAAGGGAGTCTATGGCTTAAGCTACCCTGAGATTGGGAGCCTGGGGGTTGGCAATTCTTGGTTGTCACCCTGTCGCTTGACTCTAGCTAGCCGGTTTGTCTCAGTCTCCTTTCCCCTGCATACATGGCTAACAGTACTGAGCATTTATTCTTGACAGGTATTTGCATGCATTGTCACATTTATCTTCTCTAACACAAGTGACCCATGTTTATGATCAGCCCATTTTCCAGATGGGGAGACCAAGACTTTAATGAACTTTAAGGCTCCAGTTTGTATGTGATGGAGCCAGGACTTGAATCCAGGCCTGTCAGACACACTCTGTCCTATGGGAAGGGAAGGCTGACTTTAAGTGGCCTGGGCCTCTAGTCCTCCCTCTCCTCTAGCCCCACCCTGCTGACCCTGCCCCTCACCGGCTTTCCTCGCCCTCCACCAGCTTGCGGTAGGTGGCAATCTCGATGTCCAGGGCCAGCTTGGTGTTCATGAGCTCCTGGTACTTGCGCAGCTGCAGTGCCATGTCCTGCTTGGCCTGCTGCAGGGCAGCCTCCAGCTGGGCCAGCTTGGCCTTGGCATCCTCGAAGGCCAGCTCCCCCTGTTCCTCTGCTGCCTTGATATTCTCTTCCAGTTTCAGGCACTGTGGTCAACAGAACAGAGGAAAGGGTCAGGGAGTGGAGGAGAGAGGGAGAAAGTGGCCAGGGCCCAGAGCACCTCTGTTGTTTGTGGGGGTGTGCATGGGGAGGGAGGGCTAAGTACTGGCATTACTGGGTGTGCTAATGGGTTGCGATGAAGCAAGAGGGCGTTCAGTTAGACCTGGAGAAACAAGTACCGCAAGCCGCGAACAGAGCCTATCCCAGCTGTCCTTACAGGGCAGCACCTGCTCTGAAGGCTTGTCCTGGCTGAAAGTTGGGACCTCAGCCTGAGCTCTCTTCTTTCTGTGTACTGGGTGGTGGGCCTGGGAGGGAGGCTCTGGGCTCTGGGTATATGCATGGTGGCAGGGCTTCCTAACGCCCCAGCAGCCCTGGGCCATTTACAGAGCACTTTTATTGCAAAGCTTTGCGATCCCTGTGCTGTTGTCCTTTTGGCGGGTTAGGATACCGTCTAACTGCCAAACTGAGGTATGGGGGTGCTAAGTGACCCGCTCAGGGCCTCTCAGTCCAGTCTGGGATGCACTCAGTGTGTGTGAGGGTGTGTGTGTCTCCCTGTTCCCTCCGTGTCCCTGCCCCGGGTGGGTCCTGCAGACACTCACGTGGCTCTTGACAGAGAGGATCTGGGACCGGAGCTTCTGGATACGCACGTTGAGGTCCGCAATCTCGCTGCGGCTGCTCTGGAGACAGTTCCCAAACTCGGCCGCACGGGTAGTCTGCTCCTCAAGCTGGGGCATGGGGGTGCAGTGAGGGACAGCCCACGGTATCCCTTCCAGTACCTCTTACCCTCATGTTCCTTTTTCTCCTACCCTCCTCCCATGCCATATCCCTCTGTGGGTGGCCTCTTCCTGGCTGCCCCGATGAGCAGCATAGGCTGTGCCCACGTTGCCTGCCCTTGCTGAGTGACAGCACCACTGTGAGCTCTGTAGGGCACGGAATGGGGGCTTCTCTCCTGGCTGTCCCTCAGACCCTGACACAGCGCTCGGTTCCCACCTTCCCCACACCTGCCTGTGACCTGACTGCTGAGGTCAACCTACCCCTGTACTTCTCTGCTGCCCCGTCATCAGATCTCAGGACATAGAGCTGCAAGTGACCTCAGCCACCACTAGTCCACCTTGCCTGTGGCCCAGAGACGGCTGTCCAGGCTGCTTCCCAGCCTGCATGCTCAGCCCCATACCTGGCTCCGTGAATACGCCTCAGCCTCTTCTAGGCTGCGAGCTGCGATGGCGTCATACTGGGCTTTCACCTCCTCCACGATGCTGCTCAGGTCAATGTGGCAGCGGCTGTCCATGCCAACAGTCACTGAAACATCTTTCACTTGGGCTGCTAGGTCCTTCAGCTCCTGGCCGGGCACAGATGGGGGGCGGGGGATTCAGGGCTAGTAGGGAGAGGATGGGGATCCTTGGCCCGCCATTTCATCATCATAGCTCTGTGGGGTACAGCTGTCTCCCCACTGCATAGGGAGCTCCCCAAAGGCCTGGCAAAGCCATGTGCATCTTAGGGCCAAACGTCTGGCAAGGGACTGTCTCAGTTCATTAAATAAATATTGGAACAGAAGCCAGGGAATGACAAGGGTGAGGGGCAGGTTGGTGGAGAGGCTGGCAGACTTGTACTCCCCACTGCCAGCCTCACTAAGACAGGACAGCCTGCAAGAGGCCTGGGCATAGCCTTGGTTCTGTGACTTCAGGGTGGCCCTGGAGACTTACTGCCCACTCCCCCTCTGGCTAAGGTAGCTTGCTCACCACAATGACAATAATTTTGCCTTCTCCTCCTGAGGAAACCCACCACTTCTCTGAGGGCTTACTACCGGCCAGACTGTGCTGGGTGCTTGTGCCTGACCTCACATTTCGTCCTCACTGGGCTGATACTATTGTTAGCCCCCGATTATCCCAACAGGAGAAAACTGAGGCATGTAGGTTAGGGAAACAGCTGTGAGTGGCAAAGCTGGACTCCAGATCTCTTGCTCTCTGCTGCTGCTACAGAGCTCCCATAGATGGGTGGAGGCAAAGGGCTGGAGCCTTCTCCCTTGTCTTTCCAGCCCCAGACATGTCTCCTGAAGTGCCACAGCTGGGCAGCTTTCCGGCAGAATGCTCCAGGGAGCATAGGAAGAAAGGTGGGAACAGGGATCTTCACGAGGGGGTGCAGGGTAGTGCCTCTTTGGTCCTGTGCTACTTCTCTGAAGGTGCTGAACAAGGGTGGGCTTCAGTGGGGGCAAGAGGAGCCAGAGGAGCATTAGCACCCAGAGAATGGGCCACATGGCTGGCAGGGGCTGGGCTGGCGGCTCAGAGCCCATTGTGCAGCAGGCTGTGGGGTGTGGACGCAGAGTACTTCTTTTAGCATCAGTTCACCTTTGACCCTTATTTCAATCATCAAATTTCAATCAGTGTCCCCATTTTGCTGATGGCGTCACAGTTTTTAAAACTTGTTTGAATCAGGATCCAGACAAGCTCCATGAATTACAGTTGGTCCATACGTCTCTAAGTGTCTTTTAATCTCCGTTTCTCTCTTTCTTTTTTTTGACCCTATAATTGTTCTTATTGGTTGTCTGCCATGAGAAGTCCCCCAGAGTCTGGAAGTCAGGATTCTACCATCGCTCCCTGGGCCAATGTTGAACATGCCCTTCTGGGCCCTATATTTCCTGAAAACTGCGAGCTGGGTCTGGAGGCCTGCTGGCATCCAGGCTTGGGTCTTTGGCATGTGACTGCTCTCCAACCCAGGTTCCTGACTTTGGGCCCCTCCCAGCCCTCTGCCCATCTTTATGCTCAGAGAGGTCGTGCTGGAGACTCCAGTCTCTATGCCTAGAGAGGAGACGCTTCTGAACTTCAGCTATGGGCCGTGGGGGCCAGCTAGGGCTGTGCAGCAATCTGCAAGGCACCTGCCAACACTGCTCCCCTACCAGCACCTACTGATGACAAGGCTGGGCTCCTGGACAAGGAGCTGGGGCAGTGGCAGGCACTCTCAAGCCTCCCTCAGGGCAACCTGACTCTGCCCTGAGCTCAGTGGCCAGCTGCCCTGGGAGTCTCCTGCTAGGGCAGCAGTTCTCAGTCTGTGGGTCATGACCCACAGGAACTGTGTTAAAGGGTTGCGGCATTAGGAAGGTTGAGAACCACTGTGCTAGGGGTTTGGGTTGGTCTCCAAATGAACTTAACAGAAATCTCAGGGCAAAAGCAGGAGGGACCAACTGTGGCAGAATGGGGTTGATGGTTCCCACAGACTCATGACTTGTTTCTGCAGCTCTGGTCACCAGCTGGCATTTCCCATGTGGAACCAGCACCCTGGCCAGGGCACGGCTGCCGACAGTTTCCGGGATGCAGCTTTGGGGCTTTCTTCCTGTACATATTGTGGGTGTTTGTGGGTATGGAGATCCCAGAAAGAGCCCTCCAGTGCACATTCAGACCAGGTCTAACTTGGCCCTAGAATAGGCCAACGCACTGTCAGGGCACACTCTAGGTGGGCTTCCTGGTCAAGGCAAAGGAATTGGCAAACACAGCGGGTGGGGCAGCCTCGGACCCTTTCTGGAAGGAGCGGGTTAGCAGGAGTTTGATAAATAGAAGAAAGAAACAGAGCATTCAGAACAGGGCAGACCTGTTCAGATATGTGGCCCCTGCTGGGTTGCAGGGGTCTAACATTGCACTTGGGTAGTGGGGAGAGGGATTGGGGATGGGGCTCCCGGAGAGCAGGTGCCCCTCCAGGTTGGGCAGGATTAAGCTGAGTCCAGTTTAGAGGAGAGCCTGAGAAGGCTGCTGTTTGTGTGTCCACGCTCATTGTGCTCCTCAAGTCAAGGCAGGTGATGGCTCTCACAGGGTAACTTAGTGTTGGTTCATAAAATGTAGTGCTTGATGGCAGTGGACTCTGAATACCATCACTTCTTTTTTGTTGTTGTTGAGACAGAGTCTCACTCTGCTGTCCAGGTTGAAATGCCATGGTATTGGCCTAGCTCACAGCCAATGAGCTCAAACAAACTAACTCTTAGGCTCAAGTGATCTTCCTGTCTTAGCCTCCCAAGTAGCTGGGACTACAGGTGCCTGCTACCACACCTGGCTAGTATTTTCTTTTCTTTTCTTTTTTTTTTTCAGACAGAGTCTCAAGCTGTTGCCCTGGATAGAGTACCGTGGTGTCATAGCTCTCAGCAGCCTCCAACTCTTGGGCTCAAGAAGCAATCTTCTTGCTTCAGTTTTTCTATTTTAGTAGAGATGAAGGCTCTCTTTTGCTCAGGCTGGTCTCGAACTGGTGAGCTCAAACAATCCCCCTGCCTTGGCCTCCCAGAGTGTTAGGAGTATAGGTATGAGCCACCACACCTGGCCCTCATCACCTCTTATTAGTCAGATAATTCTGGTCAAGATTTTTGGTGTCTTTGGGCCTGGGCTTTCTCACCTGTAAAATGGAACTGAAAGCAGCCACTGTTTATTAAATGCTTACCAGGTGCCAGACATGGTTCTAAGTGCTTTAGGGTATGCTAACAAAATAAATCATCCCAACAGCTCAGTGAGCTAGGTGCTATTATTCTCCCTATTTTACAGATGGGGAAATTGAGGCATAGGGAGAGAAAATAACCTGCTCTAGTGTACATAGTTACTGAGCCAGTATTCAAATCCAAGCTGCTCTGAAGTCTGTGCTCTCTTAATCATCATCCCTGAGTCGCAGGGCTGCCGGGAGGATTAACTAGGGGTAAATCTGGGAAGCACTGAGCACAGCGCCTGGAATGTATTAAGTGCTCCATAAACAGTGGTTGAGGACACTCTATTGCTGTGCTTAGTAAAGGTGATGAAGCTGGACAAGCGTATAGGGGCAAAGGAGCCCATTCCTGGAGCAGCCTCCCTGCCAAAGCTGTTTAGACAGCGGTGGCTTCTCTCTGCAGGAGCCAGCCTCCCACTGGGTGTGCCTGGCTGCAGACAGCTGTCAGCAGACTCTAGCTCACCTCCCCGGACCCAGAGTTTAAGGGCGGGGCAGGCAGTATTCCAGTTGGAGTTAGGCCCTAAAGGCACTTGGGAGCCGGACTATAATTCAGAGACTGAGGGGGCCCCTGCCAGCCCAGGGTCCTCTCCCTAACCTGTGTCCCTGGAGGGGAGGAGCAGAGAGGTGGCTGAAGCTGTAGTGTGAGGACAAGGCCTGAGCCAATCACAGCAATGGGCTCCTGCTCAGAATGTTGCCTGGCTGCGTGCATGCGTGTGTGCTTGTGTTTTGGAGGGAAGGAAGGAATGTTTTCTGGGACGCAGGTGTGGGCCTATATATTTCTGACGTGGTCTGTGCTCCAAAACTGAAGCTAGAGTGTCCAGCCTTCCTGGAGCTACTTAAATCTCAACATGTTTTTCTTCCACCTAAGGCAGCCTCGGCCGCCACTGTTCTTTGCTTAGAACTGCTCTGACCAGTGAGGTAGATGTTAAAATAATCCCATTTTGGATATATTGAGCCAAACAAAGTCTACTATTAAAGTTAATTTTTTTGTGTGTCTTTAAAAAAATATGGCCATAGAAAACTTAAAATTAGGGTGGCGCCATTAGCTCAGTTGTTAGGGTGCTGGCCATATACACCCAGGCTGGTCGGTTCAAATCCGGCGGGTCCAGCTAAACAACAGTGACAACTGCAGCAAAAAAATAGCAGGTGCGTATAGTCCCAGCTACTTGGGAGGCTGAGGCAAGAGAATCGCAAGAGTTTGAGGTTGCTGTGATGCCATGGCACTCTACCGAGGGCGACATAGTGAGAATCTGTCTCAAAAAAAAAAAAAAAAAGAAGAAGAAGAAAGAAAACTTAAAATTACATAGGTGGCTAGTGTTATATTTCTATTTGATAGTGATGACCTAGAGACCCATGGATGCAGGGAATCTTTTTGGCCAAGGAACAGTGGTGCCTTCTCAGCCCATGGTGGAGCATGGAGAGAAACTTGAACCTCACATCCTAGTGCCCGCTTACTCTGCTTCTGAAGCAATGATAAGTGCCACAGTGCGCTGTCACTGTGGTCCCTTCTCATAGCAGTCTTCTTTATGATACACACCCACAACCAGAGACCCTGTACATCCTCCCTCCCCAGGACCCACCAGAAGCTACACTCAGAGTAAGGTCAAAATTTTGTCTCAGGGCCTAGGGCCCTGCATGGCTGTCTCTGACTTAAGTCCCCCACCCCGCACTGTCTGTCATGAGCATGGTGCCTTCTTTCTTTCTCTTTAATCACAAAACTCTTGGGGTGGTGCCTGTGATTCAGTAAGTAGGGCACTGGCCCCATATACCAAGGGTGGCGGGTTCAAACCCAGGCCCTGCCAAACTGCAACAATAAAATAGGCGGGTATTGTGGTGGGTGCCTGTACCTACCACATGCTCCCAGCTACTTGGGACACAAGAGAATTGCCTAAGCCCAAGAGCTGGAGGTTGCTGTGAGCTGTGATGCCATAGCACTCTACTGAGGGCAACAGAGTAAGACTCTGTCTCTTAAAAAAAAATCACCAAACTCTCTCTGGCCCCAGGTGCTTTGCGTGGCTCCTCCCTCTGCCCAGTGCCACCTCAGATCTCCACTGGGCTGGATCTTTCCCATCCTGGGGACTTCACCCACTTTCACATCCTCTGAAAGGTGCCCTGCCCATGGGCTCTGAGGCTCTCCCCTACCTCCAGCATGAGCGTGTCACCCGAGTTCCTGCTCTCATCACCCTGCAAAGTGACCTTGTCTAGATATTTGTTGACTTGCGTGTTACCTGCCTCCTTTCAGCTAAGCTGTGCCTTCTAGAGCACAGCCCGTGACAGTGCCTGGCCTTCATAAACATTTGTCAAATGCATGGAGGGTTTAGTCCTCATCACGACCTTACCAGGCTGGTAGTATTACTCTCCCCATTTTATAGATGAGATAATTGAGGCAGAAGGAGAGAAATAACTTGCCCAAAGTCACAGAAATGGCAAAAAATCAAAACAAACAGACAAACAAAAAACAAACAAAAAAAGAAAAAGCCAAATCAGGATTGGGGCCCAAGGGCTGCAAAGTTCAATCAGATCATTTGTTCCAGCTCCTGGGTTCTCTGCCTCTGAGGCCAGTGTCCGACCCTGGCCCAGGGCACCTGGTACCCTGCACACCTCAGCTCTCCAGCACACATGAAGACACAGCTCCCTGTGAGAATGGACTCTGGGGACCTGTCCATGCTCCATGAAACGCGTGGCCAGGGAACATGTAGGATTACCAACACCAGCATGGAAGGGGATTTAGGAAACCATCAGTGCCTGCTGAAGGGTCCATGCCCCCTAGAAGCCCCTGCATCCCTGGGTCCTTTTCTGTGGACCAGCCAGCTTTTGACTCTCAGGACACTGGCCCCATTTCCTCACCTGCTCGTAGATGGTTTTCATCAGTTCCACGAAGCTCTGTAGGCTTTTTAGCTTGGTTTCCAATTCAGTTCGACGAAGACATTCTGTGTCCAGATCCTGGAGTTGGGAGCAGTGGTAAGTGATGGGAGGGAATGTTGGGGTCCCAGGTGTGAGTGGGGTGAGATCTCCCAGAGATCTGGCTCAGAGCCTGGGGAAATGAGCTGGATGGGGATGGTTGTACACCTTTGTCTGTCGGTGCTGGGACTTAAGTCTCTGGGGGCTTTGCTTGGGCATAAAGGAAAGCAGGAGCTCCTGAGGGGAAGAGGGCCGAGGGCCCAGGAGGAGGGAGCCCCAGCAGGCAGGTTACCTTCTTCAGCTGGACGAAGGTGAACTCCATGTCCGTGCGCTTGGAGATCTCATCTTCATACCTGAGAGGAGAGGGAGAGACGCTGCTTAGCAGGACGTGGGGGGCCTGGGGGCTGATTAACTACCCTTGGATGAGGCTCAGGGCCTCTGCAGTCCCAGTGGGTATGATCTCATGAATCTTGTGACACACTGCTCTGCTTCATGACATCCTGGCAGTGACTCCCATTTTTCTTCCTCCTGATGACCCCCACGCTCTCCCTGTAGCTTCTGCCTCTTCCTGGCTCTGTTCCCCTGCCTTCTCCAGGAGGTCACCCCTGCTGCCCAGCACTCTCACCTGGCACTTGTCCCTTCATTGTTCCTGCCTCCAGTCCTGAGAACCTCAGGCCCTGCAGAACCTCAGAACTCTGCGCCTTTGGTCAAGTCCCCCAGAAGCACCCTGCTCATGCCTCGCCTTCTCCCATCTCCACTCCACTTTGTAGGACACCATCCTACCATGTTCCCTCCAAAAGGAGGAAGGAAGAGCATGCACGCTGCTGTCAGATGGACCCACACTGTGTTTTTTTCCTCCTTGGCTTCCTTGCTTGTCAGGTGTGGGGCTGTGTGTGCACGTGCACGGGGGCTGACAAAGCCCACTTCTGACTCAGCGACAGTTTGTGGCTCACAGTCAGCACTCAGCAAAGTGCAACAGCTACTCCCTTCTCAGTCCAGTCTCCTTCTCTGGTCTACCGGTATTTGGAACCAGGATGCTGTTGGATGGGTGGATGGGATCCCTGCATCCCTGGCCTTATCCTCTTTCTTCGGGCAAGATGTTTGTCTTGGCCCCATAGAGTGGGGGTCTACTGGCTCTTGCCTGCCCTTGTAGAGGTGGGGTTTCTGCTTTCTTCCCCACCTCCAGCTGCTTGAGTCATTGGGTAGCTCTAATTACAGCCGCCTGCCTGCCCCAGTCCCTGACCTCTGGCAGAGGTGGCGTCACTCCCCGCCCACAGCCGCTGGCTGGAGCTGGGCCTCAGCCTTCTTTTCCACCAGAAACACCTGAGGAACTCCGGGAGTGGACCCAAGGGTGGCCAGGAACTGCAGGGCATGTGGGTCTTCGGGTGGTCTTAGCATGCTAAGTCACATGCTCTGCCGGCTGCTGCCTTAGCTTCTGAGTCTGTCAGGGGCTCTGAGGGTACAGTTCTGTGGCCTGGACAAAGGGGTGGGCCAGGGAGACCGTTCTGCTGCCTGGGGCCTGCCAGAGAATGAAATGCTTTGACTGCAGGGGGAGTGATAGGTGCTGTGGGCCACCTTGCCCCATGTTGGGTATTCTACCTATACCCTCTCCTGGGATCCTTACAACTCCCAGCTTGGGAGGTCCTACTGGTCCCATTTCACAGATGAGGAAATAGAGTCTCAGAGGAAGGCTTGGAGGCTCCTCTGGCATGCTGGTCAAGCTCAGGCATCCAGAGCCACACTGCTTGGGCTCAAACCCTGGCTTCTTTGCTAACTAGCTGTGTGACTTTGATAAGTTACTGGTGTGCCTTGTGATAGTGATGTCATGAGGCTTAAAAAGGGCCACCCATAAAGGGCTTCCAGCAGTGGGCTGTGCCCTGAGGCTTAGCCCTCTGCCTGGGCCTCCTGCATTCTTAGAGAGAAGCCTCCAGAAGCCTCACTGTAGAGCGTGGGGGGCTCTCTGCACATCCTTTCTGTGCAGAAGGCTTGGCCAACCTAAACAGGCTTCCCACTGGCATGTGAGGGTCTCTGAGGAATTCTCTGCCCTGGGAACAGGGACCTAGGGAGCCCCTCCCTGACAGGTCCTCCCCACACAAGCCCCATGGTCAAGACCCCTCTCCCTTCCTCTCTGGATAGCAGAGTTCCGGCAGCTGGGGCAGGGCCCTGGAGAGAGGTCACTGCGGTTGTCTGCACTGCCTTCTCTCTGCCCTCGTTGCTGGGTGCCCTTACCACCCCACCTCTGATTTCTGCTTGGCTCACTGAGCAATTACTACTTGTTTAGGGCCTGCTCCCTGGTTTATTTTTGGTTCTGTCTCCTGAAAAGCCTTAGGTAGGGAACTTCAGGCCTTGGGCTGGGGGTGTTGAGCCCCGTCAGAGCCTCCCACACCCTTGAATGTGCCCTGGCTTGGGGTGGGCATGGAAAAGCTGTGTCTCCTCAGTGTCATTTGCAGACCCACTGGAGAGATACCTGCTGGGGGTCTAGGCAGACATAATCAGGGTAAATTGAGGGAGACAAGTGCCCTAGAAGCTGCTCTAGGAAACCTCCCCTGGAGGAGGACACCAGGAGTGTGGGGACCAGAGGTGGCATCTCATGGTGTCCTCCCTGGGCTGAGTCTGCCTTGACCCTGGACCTCCAGGTATGCTGGGTGGGTAGGGTGGGAGCAGAGCCTGAGGCCCTGGGGAGAGGCTGATGGCATAGCAGGAATATTGGGCTGAGTCTGGCCACTGGATCCTAGTCTAGGACCAGCCCTCATAAGGAGGCTGCTAGTCCATCCCCAGCCTTTGTGTAAATTAGGATAAGGTCCCCTTCTTGAAGGGCGTGTGACCTTATGCAAGTCTGCATGGCTTGATGTGTGACTGGATTGCAGCCCCTATTCACCCTTCCATCACATACTCTTGTGCAGTGCACAGCTTGCACAGCTTACACAGCTGTATGTGGCATCCCTGAGTCACTTGGCATGTGGCTTTGGGCAAGTTGCTTCCCCTTGCTGGGTCTTTGCTCCATCCTTAGGAAATAGAAGGGTTAGACCTGCTGATCCTTGGGGTTTGTTACCCCAAAGTCCTTGGAAGTCTCTGTCCTCACAGAGGCTGAAGTGGTGCCTTTTCCCCTATCCTACCCCCAATCCTCTGCTGGTCTGCCAGTCACCAGCTCCCCTACCCTTCCTCAGGCCCTTTTTAGCTTGTTACACCCGCACCCCCTGTCCCCACCTGCCAACTTGTTTATTTCTGGGAGCCAGGCTGATCTCATCAGCCCTGTAGGGGCAGGGCACAGCTCCTCCCAGTCAGGGCTCGGCCTGGCGTCTTCTGGCTCCTGGGGGCCCCAGGCTCTGCACAGACAGGCTACGGCTGCCTGGCTCTGGCCTGAAGACCAAGAAGCCCTTTAGTTCCACCATCAGGCCCAGTCTCTCCTTCCCTAACTTAGGTGGGCTCCCTACCCAGAGAAAGGAAGAGCCTAAATGGTAACGTCAGAGAGCAGGCGGATGGAAACCAGGCAGCAGGCCAAATGAGAGGGCTGAGCCATATTAAAACAACAGTATTATTTGTACAGAACTTCCAGTTACAAAGTGCTTCCATGGACATGATCTGGCTAGGCTCCTGGGAGCAGCCTTACCTGGTGGCTGACTGGGGTTAGGGAGGAGACTTAGCATGTGTGACTTAGCTGTGTGACTGAGCCTTGCCCTCTCTGAGACTGTTTCCTTCCATGAAAGGAAGACCTAGGGCTCTAGCAAGCTCTGCCATCCTCTGATCCTTCGAGGACCAGAGACCTACTAGGAACTGGTGAAATAGGCCACAGGTTCTGGCAACCCAACGGGACTCCCCTCATCATGGTTATTTGTTGGGGAGTTGCCTTCTCCAAGTTGGCAGTCAGATGACCTGTGTGTTTCCCTAGGACTTGGGAGGACAGGGGCACGGAACAGGTGTTGGGCAAACTGAGCCATAGCCCTTGCCCCTGGGCTCCTGGACAGGCTGCCCCATTCTCTAGTTTGCCCTGCTGGCTGCTCTAGGTACTGTGGGCCTCATCGCAGACTGGCAGGGTTTGGGGCTGGGCCAGAGCACTGCAGGAGGGGAGAGCTCAGCCACACCTTGTCCTCCCCTGTCCCTGGCTGGGGCCTCCTTGCAAGGAGACCAGACCCAGGGAGGGGGTGTAGGGGTACAGCCTCTCTGCTCTGCTTCAGCCTCCTTGTCCCTGAAGCCCTGCTCACTGACTGGTCAGAAAGGGTCACTTCTCTGAGCAAGTGCCCAGAGTGTCCTTTTAGAGTGGCCAGTTCAGTTCAGCAAACCTATGTTAAAAACCCACTGTATGTGGAGAACTTTAGCCTTCTAGGAGATAGAAAACCCGCCATTTATATAGTATAACTATAGTATAACTCTAGAGTATAACTGCCAGGTACCCTGCTGAATTCACGACATCCTCCTTACATCAACCTTTTCCCATTCCCATGTCACACAGGGGAAACCAAGGCTCAGATATTAAGCAATTTTCCAGAGGTGATGCCCTCAGGTAAGGGATGGGGGCAAGGATTAAACTCCCTCCTGGTCTAATGCCCAAGCCTGGGCCCGTAACTGCTGGGACACATTATCCAGCAGCTGTTTGCTTGTCTGTCTGTCCACCTGCTGGAGCTGTGAAAGTATCTTTCCAGCTGGAGCTGTGTTTTCCTCACCTCCTAGTGGCTCCCTGCCAAGTGAGATAAAAACCCAAAGCCACATCCAAGCAGAAACCCATCTGTCATTCTAAGGCATAATTCCTCATCTCCAGAGCAATACTAGACAGCAGCAAGTGTGTTCACGGCACAAGAGTATGGCTACTTGAATTAGCATGTGGGTTGTGACAGTGCCCAGGGGCCAGCAAGCACAGGGTTTAGCTGGGAGTCTGCACAGACTGACTTTGTTGGTGAGGATTACCATGTGGGAGGGGCGCTATAGGGTCACTGTCATGTCTCCACTATTCAGAATACTGTCTGACACATGCTAGTCCCCCAGAAGGTATATCTGGGGTTAAAGAAATGTTTCCTAACTCCTTTCTTCTTCCTTTGGTGTGGGTGCCACCCACCTGAGTATGGTGTGGTCCCTACCCTCAGTCCCTGGGGGCGACCTACCTGATTCGAAAGTCCTCGACCTTCTCCAGCACCTGCAGCAAGTTGGCCTCCAGCTGGCCCCGCTCCTGGCTCACTTTGCGCAGCTCCTCTTGCAGCTGGCCCTGGTACTCCTCATAGAGGTGCCTGAGGTCGAAGGTGGCTGTGTCCTGGCCCTGCAGGAAGCTCCAGCGGGTCTCTAGCAGCTGGTTGCGCTGCTCCAGAGCTTGCACCTGGGACAGTAGGAGGGCAGGGAGTGGGCTGGGTGTGCACTGGTCTGGGGCTGAGGCCTCAGGCTGGCCAGCCGGTGCCCGTAAGGGCTTCCCTGGGAAGTAGCAGCTCATGTGTGCACACCCACCCAGGCCCTCACTCAGCACCTTCAGAACACATCTCTAATTACTGATTGTGCAGACCGAAGATGGTGAGATAAGGAGTGATCAGGGCAAGGTGGAGCCAATTAGCAAAGGGTTCCAGGGGAGGGAGGGAGATTGGGTGTGAGAGTGCCAGCATGTGACAGGCTCTCCAAGCCTGCCTGGAGCTGGGGTGGGAGACCCCAGAGAACGTGGGTGTCAGAGGCCCCTCTGCCCCTTCCCCTCCAAGACAAGCCTGGTCTCATCTTGTCTTGGAAACTCAGCAGGGTAGGGCCTGGTTAGTACCGTGCTTGAGTGCTAATCCTCTTGACAACCCAGGACTTGTAGCCTCCCAAACCTCAGTTTTCCCAGCTAGAAGTTAGGGGTGATAGTACCTGCTTACCTCTGAGTGTTGCTGGGGAAAGCACCTGGGGATGTGCTTTAGTATAGTGACAGTAGCAAGAGGTTATGTGGCTCCTACTGTGTGCCAGGCCTGGTTCTAAATGCCTGACATCTCCAACTCATTAAATCCTTGCAACAACCCCATGGGGTGGGTACTATTATCAGCTGCATTTTACAGTGGAGGAACCAGATACAGAGAGATGAAAGAACTTGCCCAAGGTCACAAAATCAACCAGTGGCAAATCCAGGCCTGGAATCCAGGTAGTTTGAATTTAAGGTCATTTAACCACCACCACAAATGCCTCCTGTTTGTTGCTGGAGTCACTGTGGGCTATGAGACCCCAGCTACCTTCCTGGGTTGGTTTCTGCCTCCAGTTAGGCCCAGATTTGCCTTGAGGATTAAGATGGGGAGGCCTGCTTCTCCTCTCCAACTCTGCCTCCCACCTCCTGCTGTCCAAGTCCCTACTAGGTCCTCCCCTTCCCTCCACCCGGTCTAGCCCAGCTCAGCTTCCCCACCCCTCCTGTCCTCTCTAGGCTCCAGCCCTGTTGGGCACTCTCTTCCTTCCATCCCAGGCCCTTCCTCTCCCCCTCCTGTAGGAAGCCCTCTGTGACTCACTCCTTGAGTACCAAGGCCCTCAGTTTACCTGTTCCTTATTTGCCCTATTCAGCACCCTCCTCACTGGACTGGAAGTCATTCACTCCTCTGTTGGGGTCTCTACTCCTTGGTGCCCAGATGTAGGTAGGCCACAGGGGTGGAGGGCATGGCTGCGGCATGGCTCCTGGACAGGTGGGCTGTTTCTGCCCTGAGAGTGTGATAATAGCCAGCCCAGCGATGTGTCCTCTGACCACAGTGGAGCTGGGCCTCCTCCTGCCACAGCTTGCACTGCTGGCCTGGGCTCCCAGAATTGTAGCCTGAAGGAGCCTTTTGGATCAGCTGGGCTCTACCCTTCATTTACAGAGGAGGGGATGGAGGAGACCCAGGGGGAGACCTGGGTCACACAGCAACTTGGTGGCCAAGCTTCCCAGAGAGGCCCTTCTGATGGCTGCTGCCTGCTCTGGGCCTTTTTGGGATCCCTGTTCCTCTGGAATCTGAGTGCCAGGCAGGCTCCCCTTTCTTTCTGTTTTTTAATTTTTTATTTTTTGAGATAGAGTCTCAGTCACCCTGTGTAAAGTGCCATTGCATCATAGCTCAGAGCACCCTCAAACTCTTGGGCTCAAGGATCCTCCTGCCTCAGCCTCCTGAGTAGTTGGGAGTACAGGCACCCACCACCATGTGTTTTTATTTTAAGTAGAGGTGAGGGTCTCCCTCTTGCTCAGGCTGGTCTTGAACTCCTGAGTTCAAGCAATCCAGCTGTCTTGGCCTTCCAGAGTGCTGGGATTACAGGCCTGTGCCTCTGCACCCGGCCCCCTTTCTCTCTCTAACCTGCCTACTTCCCCAGCTTTTTCTTATTTTCCTGGGATGCTCCGGTGACCTTGGGAAATACCCTCTGACCTTCGCAGTAGACAACTCCAGCAGGAATACTGGATGACAGCACTTGACAACAGCATTTGTGGGCTGTCATTCCCCTGCTCAATTCCCACCTGTACTGGTAGGTTCTGCTTGAAGCCAGATTCAAGCCTACCCATCTGCTGTTCGTACAGCCAAACAGGTTCAGTAGGGGTGGAGGTCAAGAGGGTTTCTGCTCTGCTTTGTGTATGTGAGAAGGAGCGTTGTGGGGGGGCATCTGCTTACCCCACCTTCTCTCCATTTTAACAAGCAGGAACTCCGTGTTTACACTGAGGGTGGAGTGATGGGAGAGATGTGAGGCTCCTTCCTCCACCCATGAGCAACAGAAAAACCTTCATACCAGGAAGTTCTTCCCTTAGTCTAACCTTGATCTTCTATGCTTCAACATGATCCCACTGGGGATATGGTATGCATTTGGCCAGCCACTCCAGTGAGAGGGCCTTTGAGTTCCTAGGGAATCAGGGGCAGCCAGCCCCCTGTCACCCATTGCCTTTGGGGGAGTCTTTTAAAAATTTTTTTTAAATTAAACCCTAACTGTCGATGCATTTATGGGGTTCAGTGTACTTCTTCTATATACAAGGTAAAATGCTTACATTGAACTAAGTAACACATCCATCGCAATTATACTCATTTCTAAATAGTTTTGAAATGTACCATTGCATCATGCACATTAGGTAAGGTCCCCCCAAATACCCTTCCTCCTCGCATATCCCCCTTCCCCTCCCCTCTCTCTCCTCTTCCCTTCTACTTTCTAGACTTTGGGGGAGTCTTTTGTTGCCTCGGTGGGTGGGGACAAGAACTCATCCCCCACCCAGGACCTTCCCTGCAGAAAGGCTCCTCCCTCTCGGAACAAAGGCCTAGGGAGGGCCGATAATCCTGACACCCTAAGGGGTGCCAGCTTTCTTGGTTCCAACCCATCAAGGCTGCTGAACCCTCCTCTCCTTCTTCCTCCTGCCTATGCTGGTTGACCCCTATACCATTAGGTTATACTGTGGCAGCTGTAGGAGGGGCTCCCAGAGCAAACACCTGTGCCATCTGCTTTCCTGTGTCACAGCAGGAGACTGTGACCTAGCTCCGTGGTGCTAGCTGCGCAGCTGAAAAGCGAGGCTAGGCCAGGCAGGGGCTTGGGGAGAGATGCATTTTTTGGGGGGGGTGGATTAAGCAGGCTAAGCTGGAGCTCCAGGCTGAGGTCTGCGCTTCCCTGGGGGAGTGGGGTAACCACCTCAGAAACTTCAGGTCCCGAGCTTACAGGGCAGTGTCTTGGGGGCCTGCAGGTCCTATGCCTCAGATGGGGGCCATTAAATCCTCTGCCTTTAGCGGAAGTTGGCTTTGCCCAAGGAGCCTCAGAGTCTCTTCATCAGGAAGGCCTGGTTTGTGTCTTTCTGTATACAGGCAGGGAGGTGACTCTGGTGACTGCCAGAAGTCAGTCACACAGGCCTAGGGGAAGACATTGTCCCCATCCCTCCATCTCTAGGGATTTTAGCAATACTCTTGGGGTTCCTCTCTGCAGTTTCCCCAGGATGCCCTGGGCCAGTCCTGCCTCTGTGCCACCTCCATCCCCTCTACCGTCTGCATGTGAAGGAGAGAAGCCCAGCCCTTTCCCAGTCCTTTTTGGCCTCTCCCACAGGTGCTTCTCATCCTCCCTCATCTTGGGATTGGCCTCACCAGTCCTGTTGCTGGCATGAGCTCAAGGCCACCTACAGAGCAGGGTGGAGAGGAATAGTGGAATCTGAGGCACAGAGAGGGTAAGCAAATTGCCCAAGGAAACACAGCCAGCAAGTGGAAGAAACAACTCTGCTCCAGTGCCTCTCTGCCAACTCCTGAGTCTCTCTCCCCCTCCTCCTGCTCTTTCTCAGTGTCTCAGAAGGGGTTGTGGAGCCAAGTGGCCAAGTGCCTCTATCCTGTCCTCTCTTTGCTTAGAGCCACCACCCATTGGTCTTGGCATCTCACCTCTGACCTTCCCCTGGGCCATACATGTCTCTCTGGCCTGTGCTGCACCCACTATCCCCCAGTCCCTTCACTTCTCCTCCCAGCAGGGCCCCTCCCTCCTGTCTTCTCTAGGCTCCTGCCTGGAAGGGGCTAACTGGGTTCTAGGAGATCCCTGAGCCAGGCCCCATTATTTTTTTATTTGGCAGTTATAATGTATTTACCATGTACGGGGTATATTCTAGCTGCTTTCAAAAATTATCCCATTTGCTTCTGATAAGCCCATTAACTGAATGTGTACTGTGGCACAGAGAGGTTAAACAACTTGCCTGAGTTTACACAGCTGGTCAGTGGTGGAGCCAGGATTCAAACCCAGCAACACTGCTCAGTTTCTGCTTCTACCTGGGCCCTTACGACCTTCAGAGGGATCTAACAGATTATCCCTGTGGAGTTGGTAGGTCAGTAGAGCCCCAGAAATCAGGCCCCCAAAGGGCTAGCACCCATGACACCCTCCATTGTACCCTGAGGGGCACCTTAGCTCAAGGCTAAGGCTTGAAGGTTGGGAGGCTCCAATTCTGTTGAAGACCTTCAAGGGCATTGCCCTGGCCCCTGGGCATAGACCCCAACTCCTAGTGCCCTTCCCTGCGCCCACCCCACCATTCATCCCCATGGCAGAGGCACAGGGTGATTTCAGCACTGGCATTTGAGGGAGAAAAACCACATATCTGAGCCAAATTACATAGCTTAGTGAGATATTCCTTTTAGAGCTTTGACCTGGGTGGATAAGGCTTTGCAGGGATCTGCCTCCCAGGGAAAACTGCCTAGCAGTTTAGGGCTCTGTGCTGCTGCGGAAGGGCTGTTGCACCTCAGGGGATGGTTGCCTTTCCTCTCCAGCTACTCCACTGAGCACCCCAGGTGTGGACAAGAAAACTCTAGTCTAGCCAAGTGAATGGAGAAGAGAAAGACATAATTGCCAACTCAGAGACCACTGGCTTTTGTCTCACAGACTGCGTTCACATCTAGATGGCACCATATGCTGGTTGTATGACCTTGGGTAAGGCACTTAACCTCTCTGGTCCTCAGGTTCCTCATCTGCACAGCGCTGTGTGGGCTAAATCACAACACATTTGCAAAGTTTCAGCAGAGGGCCAGACAGAAGCTCAATGTGTGCTCCTCTCTTCCCCTGCCTCCCCCTGGGAGCTCCCACCTTGTAGGGGAGACCAGGAACATTCGGAGGAACACAGACTTGGAGAGGCCAGGCTACAGACAAGGGCCTAATGCTAGGCCTCTGGTTTCCTGTGAGGGCCAGGAAGGTAAAGTTTTCCTTATCTGTAAAATGGGCATAAAAATGTCTTCATAGGTTGTTGAAGGAAATGGAGATAAATCTGAAAGGCATCTGGCACAGTGCCTGGCATATAGCAAGCTATTAGCACCTGTTACTATCATGATTATTTTTGGACAGAACAGGAAGGGCTTCTTGGAGGAGGTGAGGAACAGGTTTGGAAGGTGGACAGGACTCACTTGGGAGCTCCCTTTCCCTGGGGGGGGCAAAGACGACATGGGAGTCCCACACCAGTTGCAGGCCATGGGCAATCTAGGAAGCATGGGGGGTTGGGGTGTTAAGGACTCATGTCCCTGCTCAGGGTGAGATGTGAGGAGGCCTGCTGGCTGCTGGCCCTGACTCGGAGAATCTACCCCTGCATTCCTGTCCCCTGACGTGCCAAAGCTGCATCCTCTCTCACCGCAGCCTCTGCAGCAGCCTTGTTCCGGCAGCCCCACACGCCCCCTCGGCCCTGCCAGTTCTTCTGACCCGGAAGCTAAGCAGGGGTGCCTTCAGAGAGACTCTGCAAGGCCATTGAGGGATGCACAGGAGGGTGGACCTTGGGAGGGCATCTCCACTGTCCATCTGTCTCTAGTAAGACTGAGGACCATGCCTCCATCAGCCACTGCCATGACAGGGACCCTGGCCACCCTCAGCGCTGCTCCTTAGTCCAAGCCTGGCAGTGGTGGTGGGGTTTGGGTGGTCCCAGGCTGTGCAGTATATTGCTGTTCAGATGTCCCTCAGAGGCCATCCTGGGGTACCTTTCTCTCCCAGTGCCAAGATGGATCAGCAATGTCCCTCCTAGCCTTCTGCTCAGAGTTAGCAGTGTGGCCTCCCCATTGACTGGGGGCAGAGGTGGGAATGATGATCCATGCTAGGGAAATAAAGAGCTTGACCACCTGCCTAGGCCTGGTGGCCCCTTAGTTTTTGGGACCCTCCCCCTCTGACACCACCAACGTCTCACCTTGCCAATCAGGGAGGCAAATTTATCATTGAGGACTTTCATCTCCTCCTTCTCCTGGTTCTTCTGCTGCTGGATGGCCGGGTCCACTTTGAGGTCCAGGGGCACCAGTAGGCTGGAGTTCACGGTCACATTGGGGATGGTGCCAGCCGACCAGCAGCCCGTCAGGCTGTGGGAGCTGAAGCCTGACCCAGGGGTCCCACAGCTGCTCCATCCCGAGGCTCCAGGCCGGGGGCTGCCCGCTGGGGTCACCTCACAGCCGCTGAGGCTGCTGAAGCCAACGACGCAGGAGCGGCAGGCCATCACGGACCCCCGGCCTGGGAACAGGCGGGCCCTGGGATGAGCGAGTGAGCCTTGGAGAGGTGATGAGTGGCAGGCTCTGGTCGCAGCCGAGGCAGGCTGGGGACTGAGGAGTAGACACCTGTTGTACAGTGCTCATTAGCTGCAGGAGGGCGGGACGCCTCCCAGCCTGACCAACCTGTTGGATGATGCTGGGCTCCCGCCCTCCCCCAGCACAAACACACATGATTCTCCCTCCTGGCAGGGGATCTGCCTTGCTGAGAACCTGGTCACAGGTTCCAGACCCTAAGCCCTGGACCAAGCAGGCTTGACTCCAGGGAGGAGCCAAGGCTTGGCTGGCTGGGGTCGGTGCAGGAGTGGGCAAAGGAGGGCAGATTCAACCCGGAAGGAAAGAGGAGAGAGCACCTCTCACCGCAGGCAGACCTCGCTGCATACCTGAAGGCTGACGTATGTGGCCTCACATACTTCTTCTGGAAAAGATGAGGCAAGCACAGGCCCTGAGCTCCTGGGTGTAGGGCAGCTGTTTTGGGCACTGTGCCAGTCTGGCATTGGAAAATACTACCTTTGTTATTTATTTTCTAGCTGCCCAAGGGTCTCCCTGGAGTATCTTACCCCTTCTACCTACCCCTCCCCGTTTCTTCCTTGGTTCTAACTAGCATTCATAGATAAGGTGGCCAGATTTTAACATTGGTAAAGCAGGACACCATGGGGGGGGGTTCTTAATTAAAAATTTGGTCTATATGGAGCAACAAAAATTTTCATAGAACGCATAAATAGTATTGTAATATATATGTATTTAATTTCAACATAAGTACAATTTACAAATATAATACATTAAAAAAAATTATGTATAGGGCGGCACCTGTGGCTAAAAGGAGTAGGGTGATCTTGCCCAGGAGGGGAGTAGGGAGTTTACATTAGCCTTTTCATTTCCAAATGAAGTTACATTAACCTCTTCCTTCCTAAATGGAGTTACATTAACCTTTTCAGCAGCCAAAAACCTTATATTCCCTTCCTATTGTTCTGCCATTCTCTAGCTTGTTGTGCATTCTTTCCAAAAATGGGGACTTGTTAAAAATGCTGCAGGATGCAGGACAAATTGTTAAAAATTGGGACTGTCCCGCCAAAAGTGGGACATCTGGTCACTTTATTCATAGAGCACCTGCTATGCACACCCCCTGTTTAGGAAGTTGGAGGAAATAGAGGTCAAGGCCAAGAGCCCTTGGCTTTGGAAACATGAGGCTTAGGCTCAAGGTTCAGCTGTTCATTCCTGGTGTGACCTTGGGCACATTATTTGATTCTGCCCTCATTTGTAAAGTGGGGATAGAAATATCCACTTTATAGGAGGCAGTGTACAAGGCTTGGTGGAGGACAGGTTCAAGGTTGGCAGCAGCAGGCAGTACCCACCTGCCAGGAGCTGGTGTAGTGGGGAGGCAGCCACAATCAAGCGCAGCTCTGCCCCTTCCCACCCTTCCTTCCTCTCTAGCTCCTTGGACCTCTGTCCTATCAAGTATGAGGTACAAATAGAAAAGACAACATTTTGCCCCACAGAGCCTCTGATGGGGCAGCAAGGCTTCCAGCCCAGGGCACTCCCCTGCATTCTGGTTCCTGAGCCCCCCTAGGGATGCAGCTTACTTGGCCCAATGCTCTGTGCCTGGTGGCTGGCTCTGGTATCCTCCCTGGACCTGACATAGCACCCTGGATGGTGGGGCCAAAGCAGAGAGAGAGGAGCATGCCTGGGAGGTCTCAGTGGCTAGTGACAGAGGGGCCTCTTTCCCACACATGGGGTGCTCCTGGCTCACGAGAACATGGGACTGTACTGAGGCTGCAGCTCTATCTGGCACCTGGCTCCCAGGGTGACATGCTGGGTGGGCTGGTGTGGCCTTGCTGCGTGTCTGTTCCCACTTCTGACACACACTGCCCCTCCCCACTCAAAACTGACTGTCATGGCCTTCCACCATCCTCACCCCAACCTGGTATCCGAATGGCATGTGGTCAGACACGGCACCCTGCCCCCTACCCCATCACCCTGTGTGCTCTGTGGGGAATGGAGGGGGCAGCGATAGCATCTGGGCTCTTCTGAAGCCAGCATAGCCAACATGTCAGGAATGTGCCAGATGCTCTGTGTGGATTAGCTCTTCAGTCCTCATGACAACCTCCCTGGAGGTGGATGCTTTGATTCTCATCGTCCTAATTTACAGAGGAGGCTCAGAGGGTTAAGTGCCTGGTCTAAGGTCCTGCAATTGATCAGGGATGGATTTGAAGCCAGACCATAAGGGTTAAGACCACGTACTCTAATCTCAGCCTCTGAGTTTTAGGACTCTGGCAAGGATGGCGGGTTAGAAAAGGAAGCTCTCTTCTTACGGTCCAGGATGTAATTCAGGGCAGTCCCTCTGCCTAATTCTCTTTAATCTGGAAGCCTAAATCTCTTAAGTGCCTCCATAAGACATAAATGTGCTAGTTCTTGCTGACTTCCTCTGGCCTCAGTCAGCCCCTGAGATTTGACAGGTCATAGTTAATTGCCAAGTTTCTGGCTCCTAGGCTGGCTTTGCAGGGCTTGTCTCTGGGGCTCGTCTCTGGGGCCCAGCATAGCACTCAGTACCCTGGCTTCCCTTGGGGGTGTTCTTGCCTCCCTGGAGGAATGAAGGGTGTGCTGGCCTGGAGGGAGGGACGTGGGGCCCTCTTGCTGCTTCCTCTCGGGTGCTGTCCGTAGAGGTGTGTTTGATTGTCACCACTCTGGCTGCCAAACAGGAATGGCTGCAAAAAAGGCCCCAAACAAACAAAACTCCACAAAGTGCCCAGCCCTACCTCCTCCTCCCCACCTCGCTGCCTCTTCCTCTGCCCCCTTCCCTTCCCTATCTTCACCTATACCTCCCTCCACCCCTGAGTTGGCTTCTGTGGGGGTCATCTAGGTCAGGACGCTGTCTCTGAGCAGGGGCTGTCCACCCTCACTGAGGACCTGACACAACCCTCTGCTGGCCTTAGTACAGAGCCTGAACCTCTGAACAATCTAGGTGTTCAAATCTCCTACCCAGGGAAGCAGGAAGCCTGGCAGGGTTGGGAGCTGGGAGATGGAGAGTAGGGGAGATTGGCAGCTTCTCTGGGATGTTTAGGTACCTTAAAAGTCTCCATGTCCTTTCTGGATATACTCACAAATGAACCTGCTTGGTGCTTCAGTGGGGGACAAGTCTGGGTGACCCCAGATGGAAATGGCATTTGTGTGCCGCTGAGATTCTGGAGGTTTGTCCTGGCTGGTCCTCACCTGGTCTAATCTCCCCCTTCTTCCCCTCAAGTCTTCAGTTTCCTGATCATCCAGGATGCAGAGTAAGGCCAGAGGAGGGACAAGAGTGGCCCGAGGACAATGATAGTGAGGAGGCTTGGCGTGGGATGCCCAGAGCCTCCCAGAACTGGTCCTCCAGCGATGGGGAGTTTTCTTTCTCTCCTCCTCTTTTTCCTTTCTTTCCGCACGCCTTTTCCTCCCAGCCTCCCCTCTGCCTCCCTCTGGTCCTCACGCACCCCTCCCCCTGTGTTTGTGTTGCTCTGCCTCTCTCCTGTTTTCCTGTCTGCTTGTCCCTCTCAGTCTCCTGCCCACTCAGAGTCCTGGCCTGGGGCTCCTCTGTCTCTCCGCTCTGGGGGAGGAGAGGCATCTGGGTTCGCAGCCCTGCAGCCTGGCTGGATGTCCTTATGCAAATGGCATCTCTGTGTCATAGTTTCAGTGCCTCCTCTTTGCCCTGCTCCCCAGTGAGTGAGGCCTGGCCTGTGTGGCGATGGTGTGAGCAGGACAGCCAGGCATATTTGCCAGATGAATGTTCCAGTGAGCACATCCTAGCCTGGTGCAGGCCCTGGGCAGGAGGTAGCTCCTGGGGAGACAGACAGGGATTCTCTGGGCGGGAGAGCCACAGTGGGTTTGGAACCTGCAGGGGAGACTCTTAGCCTTACTCCACAACATGATGGGAAGGAGGGCCACTCTTCCAGGAAGCCCTCAGGTTGAGGGCTACTCAGGTTCCTGAGTACCTCTTATCCTTTTTCCTAAATGCACGTCCACACCTGCGGTCATTATCTGGGTCATTGCCCTCTTGCTGATGAAACTGGAAACTTCTGGCCTCTTTTCTCTGGATCTTCCCTTAGAGCAAGGCTGTCATGAAGCCACATGAGGGAGGCCCTGCCCAGGGGCTAAGTTGTGGGAGTGGGATGGCCTAGGTCAGGGGCTGAGGGTTTTAAGGGACCTGTGACTGTGTGACAAAAATTTCTGAGGGTCCCAGAGCTGGGGGTTGGGAAGCTAAGTATAGGTTTGGGAAAAGTGAGGACCGAGGAGGGGAGCTAAGAGCAAAGATGGAGAAATTAAGCCTCCTCCACATGGCAGGCAGGCTATGGAGACACGGAGTAGGCTGATTCTGATGAGGGTGTTGGAAGGAGACAGTGAGCTAAGGCCTGAAGGAGGAGGAGGAAAAGCTGCCTGCGCCAGGGAGGGAAGGGTGTTCCAGGCTGGGACAGTGTCATGAGCTGTGTAGGTGAGAAACTGTTTGTGTGGGATGGGGACAGGGAATGACGAGAGCCGGCGTTACAGGAGTGTTGGTGCTGCTGGAGAGCTCGAGGGAGCTGACTTCCTGGGGGGCCTGCAGAGGCTGTGATTGTGGCATTTCACTATTGCACACGCAGTCCTTTGGTGGCTCCTGGGGCTGTGGGGATGGAAGAGTCCTTAGAATGTCAAACCCGATCCTTGACCCTTGCTGCCTTTCTTCCTTGCCACATACCATCTCTGCCATGCCCTCCTCCTCTCCACAGCCCTACCTGTTCCCACCCCACCACACTGGCCACAATCCCCTGTGCCCACTGAGCGGTGTCATGTGTCTGTGTTGAGCAGTTTGGATACTGAACATTTCCTATTACCGACAATTCTATTGAATGGTGCTGATCTGCAAATAAGGTGTCTGAGACGGGCCAGGAGGCTCATCACAGGTGGGTTCCTGGGGATTGTGAACTGGTTTGGGATGGCCCACCGGGCAGCACAGGAAGGTGGCAGGAGCTCTGGCCACCTTCCTGTGCTGA